CCCTGAGAGAAGGTAACTTTTAGATGCAATCTCACTAGTAGTAGTTGATAATACCTCTCAAATCTTGGTTCATAATCAGAAGCACAGAAAAGACAAAGGATGAGTCCTGGTGGTAAAAATTAAATGGACGGGGCTTCCCTGGTGGCGCAGTGGTTGAGAGTCCGCCTGCCGATGCAGGGGACACGGGTTCGTGCCCCGGTCTGGGAAGATCCCACATGTCATGGAGCGGCTGGGCCCGTGAGCCATGGCCGGTGAGCCTGCGCGTCCGGAGCCTGTGCTCCGCAACGGGAGAGGCCACGGCAGTGAGAGGTCCGCGTACCGCACAAAAAAAAAAAAAAAAAAAAAAAAAAAAAATTAAATGGACGGCTCTCTGCATTAGACCACCCCAGAGTAGAAAGAATACAGATAAGAGACTTTCCAAACTTTTTCCAGAATAGCAGAGGAAATAGCCTGTTTTCCCCTGGAAACACTGTCTACTGGAATGGAATTTACAGGAAGGCAGCTGGCTAGTTTGTAAAAGGCATCTAGTCCTGGCCATTTCTTCAATGTTTCCATGTGCTCATAAACACAAGTGTGCAATACGACTGCTTTTCGACCTCAGTCTGATATTTCTGAAATCCCTCAATTCTGAATCTAAAAACCAGAATCAGTGGGGGTAAGGCTAGTAAAAATATCTAAGTTGGAGTACTCTGGAGTTTGTTTAATGTTACTGGGCAGTTATTTATTGACATGATGTATCTGGGATGGGGAAACAAAAACAAAAATCCTACCTTACAGGGCTTATATCAACAAAGCAACCAAGGATGAATGAAAAGGAAACGAGCTGGAGCAACATTAATGAACACTGGACAACATAGAGTTTTCCTCAAAATGCTAGATAGCAAAGTTTTAAATGCATATGAAAATACATATCAGAGCAGTAATATCCCAAAACTCTCTAAGGGGTGAAGATGCTTAGTTAGAAGAGTGACAAAAGAGTGTGTGTGCAGAGAGGAAACCATTGACTAAGGAATTAGGATATATGGACACATGAAAACAGAAGTTCCTATTCAGGGCTGTCCCAGGCTTGAGGATACCTCATGGGGACAGACAGGTCCTGCAAGGAGGGAGAGTTTGCTGCAGGGTAAGCAGAAGAATAGGATTCTTCATCTGTTTTATATGTTAGTGTTACCTGAAAGATTGTCCAAAATGATTAAAATCATTTAAACCAACACGTAAATGAGGATAAACTACATTGCACCTTAAGTTCAAATTTGATTATCTTTTCAAAAAAACTGAAAAATAAACAGGACAGTGTTCTAAAATGACAGTGTTCTCAAGCAAAAGCTTGAGAAACAAACACAAGGAGCCAGAAACAAAACAGATTTTAAATGCATTTTCAATTTGCCTCTTTAGCCCAGCATTATTAATATCTTTTGTCAGTTACCATCCACATGATTTATTCTACTATCAGCGTTTTCAGTTGTGTTATTATAAAATTCATTTTGCTTTATAGATTCATTAAAGAGGACTGGAGAAATAATTAGTGTGTTAAAGTGTCCTGTGTACATTCATAAAATTATGGCAGCAAAAACTAATGGTTAATATATTTAGTATTATTTTAATAAAAATTTAGAACTAACACAGAAAGTGTAAATGGCTATCACGCCACTCAGCTAAATTACAAGATAAACTATAAGAGGCAAAGTAGCCCAAAAAAAAGGAGGAGAAGAAAAGAACAGAAAAATGTTAGGTCCCAGTACTAAATGTCTTGAAAGAGATTAAAGCACAGGTATTCACTCATTCAACAAATATTTATTGAGCACCCCCTACGTTTCAGGTGTCATATGAAAAGATACAGACAGATGTGAAGAGACATTTAGAATGTTAAGACATCATATCAAATAATGAGGAAGACTCAAAACTTTTTAACTATACTAGATGACTGGAGATAAATATCCATGGCAAATTTTTAGAAGTACTCAAAATGTGATGAGTTTATGAGACATTTGGAAGGGGTAAAAGCAACACAACAAAAATGGCTTCTTGTATTGTGGGTGGGACGGGCAGAGGAGGGAGAAAAGAATTTCTCTATATACCTGTTTATTTGACATACCTCGAAGGAAGTTTGCCCAAATCTGAGATTAAATTGAAATCATTTTCTTAAGTAGAGTTATTAAGAAGCTAGAAGCAAGCCAGAAAGCTATAATACAGACTCAATCTTTTAAAGCTAAAAGGAACATCTAACCCAGAACTTTAATTCTGTCCACAACTAAGGTCTGAAGAGTAACTTTCCCAAGGCCACATGGTGATAACTTTATTAATTTTAGTTGCAGGTTAAAATATATAAAATATTACATATTCTCTATACAAAATTAAATACTCCATATTAGATGAAATTTAAAAAGAAACACAGACTAGAGCCATTCAACACTTTGGTGTATATTAAATCCAGGTTTTCTGAGAGAGAGAAAGAGAAAAAAGAGAGAGACAGAGAGAGATGGGGGCGAGGTGGGGGGAGTGATGAAAAGAATAGAAAACATATCCACACAAGAATGGCATTATACTAATCATACTGTTTTGTAAATCCTTAATACAATATCTTTCTATATCAGTAAGTATACATAACAAAACTTTAAAAAATTATTGACTGGAGGCAGCAACCAAGTGTTCCATTTGTAGTTTTTTAATACTGATACCTTTTAAATAGCAAACATTAAAATACTGTGCAAATGAGCATACCCATAATGGTCGTAATAATAGTGTAATAATTTATTGGGTTGGCCCAAAAGTTCATTCAGGTTTTTCCATAACATCTTACGGAAAACCCGAATGAACTTTTTGGCCAACCCAATAAAAGATGTGAACACTGCCATAGGTGTAATAATGTGACCACTTATTTTCAAATACACACACACTCAATTTTCATATAAAATGAAAAGTATGGAAAAGATCTCTAAAGTCCCTCTGACCTCCAAAATCTTATGATTCTGTACCTATTTCATACATCTTTCTATAGTTTTTCATAAGACTTCCCATAATAACTATTTTTAATAAATTTCAAGCTTATGCCTACTTCAGTCAAGAACAGCTTCATACACAAACAGCACTGTGGAAGGTTTTTTATTTATACATGCTTATTTAATGCATACAAAAATCCTGCAATGTAGAAACCTGAAAATTAAGTAATTTGTTCAATATCCCTTAGCTGGTAAGTAGAGGGTATGAAATTAAGACTCCTGGTCACATGATCCCAAAGATTCTGCTCATTTCATTACGTCAAGTTGTCTTCTTTAATATATTCACTGAGGCATTTATTAAGCATCTATTATAACAACAGCAGGATTACTGTACTAGGTAAACATTCATTTAGAAGGATTGAGGAAATGCACACTGGGACTGATAAAGCAAAGTTCTCATATCAGTGTAAATATTATAACTACACGGGAGAACAAATCAGTAAATAGGTTAATAGAAAACAAACCTAATTTAAAAAATGAGGGCAGAAAAACAAATAGTTCTGAGTTTAGAACAATGGGAATTGACTAACTGATGAATACAAAATTCTCTTTTTTGCTTTTTAATCAATTTGTAGTTTGGCTTGGCTTTGTGGCTCATTTACTTGAGAGGTGATTTATAATAATTTAATATGTTTGAATATTAACAGTAAGAATTATTTCCTATCACTTTAGAATGACTTAAGTTTTTCACAAAGCATGAAGAGAAAAGATACAGATTTTACAAACAAATTTTAGCTCACTTGGAAGAAAGGTTCTAAATTAATAATAGGAAATATTTACTACTACCATTATATAATTCATTGAAGGGGCAAAGAGGTTATTTCCTTAACTACTTTGAAAAGGAGGAAGACTTAATAAATTACTTTTAAACACAAAATATTAATATCTCACTTTCTTTGTTTTAAGTGTGATAAACATTCACTCAGCTGAACATTCACTCAAAACATTCATTTCAGACCTTCTCTGTTCAAGTGTTACGGGAATACAAATAAGGCTACTGGCTAAGATGTGGTCCCTAACCACATAGAAAGAGATGGTACTGAAGGTGTGGCTTTCTATTTAAATAAATCAATTTAGTTCCTCTTGGGAAACATCTGTGTATATAAATATGTTTTTAAAATTATGAAACAAATAATACTACTATTGGTCTCATTGGAGGTTCACAAATGATTTTCAACATGGTTTATTATTTCTGGATAAGCTGGTTGAGTGATACATACTTAAACCTTGAAAAAAATCAAAGCCAGTTATTCAATGTTCCTAAAAAAAATAAGATGACATTTCTTTGAATTTGGCACTCATAGTTTTGAGTCTACTTTTATTTCTGTTTCAGCCCCAACTTGATGCATCAGGAGCCTAGGGTCAGGATTAATCAAATCTTTAAAGATACTTGTAGCTTGAGATGATGAAAGCTAAGACATAAAACAATGCCCATCTGATGCTCTGGTGTGCATGCAAATTACCCAAGGTGGATGTTTAACCCTCTCCTAGAGATTTGAATTCCAGATTTAGGTGGCACTCAAGGACCTGTGTTTTTAGACAGAACACATTTTGAGAGACACTTATCTCCAGAATTACCATCACTGCAGAATTAGTTCCTATTTTCCCTCCTACCTCTGTCATTTTCAGAAGTGCCAGAACTACTATTATTTGTTTTGATACCTCTGAAGTGAAAACTATATGCTGATCTCCACAGTACATATTCTTAAATGATACACACCCATGATTCTGCTCACCTTCCACTGGCTAGATAGATGAATGGATAGATACAAAGGTAGACAGATACAGATAACAGATCCATCCACCTATTTATCTAATATACATTAAAGGAATGTATTCTGCCTGCAAATCAGAAAGTAATTCAAGTGTTTTAACATTTTCCACATCTGAGACACACTCTGAAATTCTGTTCTAAAAAGTCAAAAGAAAGCTACCATTGAAAGAAATTCCCAGAAACATTTCCTAGGAGATTTGAGTTATTAACAACAGTAGTTGGCTTACCTGCCATCTCGCTGAGCAGCACCACCTTCTGTCACTGTCTTGACAAATATTCCCAGCTTTTCAAGTCCAGCATCTGCTCCAACACCCATTCCAATAATACTTATACCAAGTCCATCCTCATCTATGAAAACGGAAAAAAAAATGAAACAACCTAAGTTTTACACTCGTCCACAATTAGCTGCTGAGATCTATTTGCTGCTTTTAATTTTGTTCTTTGTGAACTATATTGATATGCTTCCTCTGACAGAATTTTTATTCTATGCTGGGGAGCAAGGATGTCAAATTAGACCCCTCAAAAGGCTCATTAGTTTAGTCTCATTTTACTACTGCCAGTGGCTCTTCCATTGTGATCCCTCAAAAAGGTAATAATTTGGTTACTGAGCAATCAATCTGCCTGACTAAATAATATTTTTAAGCACAGACCATACATCCTCAAACATATATATATATATTATTTAAATAAATGTGATCATAATATATCTGGAATTTCCCCTTTATTTATGCGGTCTTCTTTTCTTTTTTACTTGGTCCATATTCCCATTCATGTTAATAAGATGGTATGTGTCTCTCAGTACTTTCCTCTGTCCTACTATACAAGCATATAAACGTATCATCAGATACAATATACACATTATATGCATATAATTAAATATACATATTATATATGGCTTAATTTTCCTTCTTATTTTCTTTACACAAACAAGATCATATTATACCTACTTCTCTCTGCAGCTTACTTTTCTAATCCAATGATACCGCATGGATATCAACTTACATAGCCTTAAATCACTTATAATGCATATTTCATGGTGAGAAGCTGTCGTAACTTATCCAACCATTTCTCTACTAACAGGCATTCACTTTTGTTTCCATTTTACTGGCCCTTTGAACAATACTGACAAACATGTTTTTTAATTCACTTACAAATCCATATTTCCAATTCTCCTCTCTGTGAACACATATTTTAACATTAATGAAATAAAAGATACACTATGCGCATTCCACATTTTTTGGTTAACATTCAAAGTTATTTTCTGATAGTCTCAAAGTCTTTATAGTAATGGTGTATTAGCTGCATAAAAAATAGATGGTATTAGCTAGTCAGCAGTGGTGGAGTGTTAAAGGAAAACGGGCTCATGTGCTCAATAGAATACTTGATGCTTTTAAAAGCCTTTTTAGCAATAACCTTTAATTTGTTAAGTATTCTCAACTAGTAATTTTTTTTTTTTTTTTTTGCGGTATGCAGGCCTCTCACTGTTGTGGCCTCTCCCGTTGCGAAGCACAGGCTCCAGACGCGCAGGCTAAGCCGCCATGGCTCACGGGCCCAGCCGCTCCGCGGCATGTGGGATCTTCCCGGACCGGGGCACGAACCCGTGTCCCCTGCATCGGCAGGCGGACTCTCAACCACTGCGCCACCAGGGAAGCCCTCAACTAGTAATTTTTTGAATAAGGTTCATCTCATTGATTATTAGTTACTGCCAGCTTCTGCTTTAAGTATTTCTAAGTACAACTCATAATCCTACATCTTTATTCTACATATGTTTAAAAGTATGTCATTTGGCAAAAGTGATGTGTTTGCTCAGCTGTGTGCTAAAGAAAGCTATGTAGAGTGCTCTCCCTGGAGGAAATGTTTGATGTGATCCCCAGCTGAAGGCACGTCCTCATTGATTCTAGGCACAGGTATCTAGTGTGAAAACTGCTGACTAAATGAGTGATCACTGGAGACTTTCCTTCCTTCCTTACATTTAGAATATTTGCACACGCCATTTCCCATATTTATTACATTCTAATCGTTTCCCCAGTATAGATATTCATGTTCATCAAGAGGCATTCTCCTGCTAAAAACTTTCCTACATTCATTACAGTTTTCGAGTTTCTCCCCAGAATGAGTTTTCTTACGCACATGAAGGTTAGATCTGTGCGAAGGCGCTTCCTCATTGGTCACATGTATAAAGTTTCTTCTCTCCCACATGAATTCTCTTATGTATATGAAGGTTAGCTGTATTGCTGAATTATTGCACATATTCATCATATTCATAGGGTTTCTCTAGAGTGTGAATTTGTTCATGTTGATAAAGGGATGAATGATGACCAAAAGCCTTCCCAGTGTTTACATTCAAAGAAGTTTTTTTTCTTCCTCCAGTGTGTTTGCTCTTGTGTAGTTTAAGAGATGATCTCTGTAGACTTTTCCACACTGAAAAATGTCATAGGATTTCTCTCCTGTATGAAATCTCTGGTGTGTATTAAGTGTTACCTGAATTCTTATTCATATTCATTGTATTTATAGGACTTTTTCTTCATTATGAATTATCACGTGTCAAGCCAATGTTGAGTTCCCATACTCAGTATATCGAAAGGGCTCCCCTCAAATGTTGATTCTGTATACTATCATGCCATTAAATATAATAGTTACTTCCTGCAAATAACCTGCATGAAAATTATATCTGAGTTTTTAAATCCATTTTCCCTGCCTGGACTCAGGCTTTAGTAAAATTATCTTCTTTCCTTCCATAGCTCCTCTTGATGCTCTAACTGGAAAATTACTCAGATTTGCAAAGCTGAAAACCCAACTGTGGGCAAAACTATTATATCAGCTTGAGCCATCCTCAATCCCATTGCCGACCACGTGAAAGACATGGTGATAACCGAAGGAAAATTAAAGAAAGAGTACAATCAACCCACAGAGACCAGGTGACTAATCTAATCTCTGTACAGCTTCTTTGAGATGTCAAGCATGGGTGAAGTCCAAGCCACAACTTCAAGGCCCTGATTCTTGTGGTTGCACCATCAAGAACCCAGCAGCCATCCTGTCTTCCTCTGTATATACTCTCCTAGGAACAGGCAGAGCACTAAGTATGCAAAGCAGCCAGGGCAAGATGGAAACAACTATAAGGCTGTGTTAGGAAGATGTTATCACCACCCTCTGGAGGCCAGGAAAAAAAATCTCATGTTAGTTCAGCATTCCCTTCATTGCTAGTGAGATTTGAGCTTGTAGTCATATGAACTTGGGCCATTAGATTTCCTCTGAAGTAAAGGGCCAATTTTTCTAATGAGTTTTGCCTGACTCTTTTTTCCTCATCATTTCCGAAGACTCTTAGAATATTATAGCTATTAACTCCATGTCATCTATGATGAATATTTCCCCCTTCAAATGTATCACTTATCTCTTGGCTTTGTTTGACAATATTGCCTTTAAGAGTTTAAAATTTTGGATGAGTAAATTGGTCCATCTTTTCTTTTATAATTTCTGATTTTCCATTTTGGTTAAGCCCCTCCTCCCACAAGCCCAGATGATAAATGTAGACATAAATTTTCATCAAATATCTTTGTCATTTTTAATATTTTATTATTTAATTCACATAGAGTTATTTTTATATATGATATAATGAAAATGATGTTTTCCAACTTAATACTCTTTCAGATAGATGCTTTATGCCAGAACAATTTGTAAAGCACCCTGTCACTTCTAAATTAGAGTATCTTATGTGTCATGTTATTAAATTCTCATGCACACTAACATCTTTCCCTGGACCTTGTATTTTGTTCCACTGATCAACTGCTATATGTATACAATTTGTTCTGATTATAGAGGCTTCACGTTACATTCAGATAGTTGGGAAGTTAAATCCTTTCACATTCTTTTCCATACTTCCCTTAGGTCTGTATTTTTCCATATAAAATTTAGTATTGTATTATGCAATCCCCTCTAACAATGAAACTCTGATGGCAGTTCTACTTGAACCGCATTAAATTTATTTATTCATTTATGGGTATAGAAGACAGAATAGGAGAGACTTTCCTATACTGAGTCTTCTCATCCAAGAATACAGAATATCTATTTGCTCAGATCTTGTATCTTTAATAGCTATAATACAACTTTTACAGCTTTAATAGCTACAAAATGACAATGATATATCACCTCACACTTGTTACAATGACTATCATCAAAAAGATAAGAGATAACAAGTGTTGGGAAGGATGGGGAGGAAAGAGAACTCTTGTGCACTCTTGGTGGGAATGTAAATTGCTGGAGACACTATGTAAGACAGTATGGAGATTCCTCAAAAAATTAAAAATAACTACTTCGTTTAGTTCTCTTCTAGTTTAATTTTTCTAGTTTAACTTTTACTATGAAATGTAGCATACAAACAAAAGAGTTTATAAAAACATTTACCTACAAAACATTGCGTAAAACAAAAATAAAGCAAACATTCATGTACTAACAAAGACAGAAAACATTACAAATACTCCAAAAGCCCACTAATGTGAGCCTCCCTGAAATCATAACTCTTCCTTTGGTAACCATTATCCTAAACATGGTGCTACCATTCCTCCCTTTTCTTAATACTACTTTTTAAAGCTACTTATTTGTGTATTTCTAAGGAATATGCTGTTTAATTTTTCCTGGCTTTTAAATTTAAATAAATGGAATTGTACTGAATGGCTTCTTCTGTGATTTGCTTCCCACCCCGCCTCAATTTCATGTTTGTAAGAATCATAACACACTGCTACATGGAACTGTGGCTCCTTCATTTTTACTGCTGAGTAATATTTACTATAGATATGCTACAATTTATATACCTTTTCCTATCATTGATGACTACTCAGATTGCCCTCATTTTTGCTATTGTAAGCAATACAATGGCCCACAGCCAAATCCAGCTGTCTTTGTATGGGCCATAAGCTAAGGATGGTTTTTACATTTTTAAATGGATGAAAAGTGTAAGCTTCACTCTTACATTCTCTTTAACCTCAAATGAAAGTGTCTTTTATAGGAACAATTATTGGCCAATGTTGTTTAGTGTAATAATTGGTATTCTTTATATATTTTTCATCCAAGCAATTTTATGCTTAATACTTACATAGTTTTCAACTCTCTTTCCCTAACATTTGCTGTGTTGAACAAGCTGTTCTTTGTTTCTTTTCCTCCTTGCTAATTGAGAATTATGAAGGAGATATGTTCTTTAAGTCCTTACATATAAGCACATTTCTTTCTTTCATCAGGATAGGTAAACATTCTGGGATGGATAAAGGATTCTTGGATCATTATCCTTTTTCTTCTCAGTGGTGTGTGAAATCATACATACCTCCCCACTCCCAGGGTTACATATAAGAAGTCTGAGGCTAGTCTAATAACTACCTTTTTGCAAGTACCTTTGCTTCTTTGTTTGCTTTGATTTTGGCCTGGTATTTTGTAAGATTTTCACTTTATGTTTGAAGATTAGAATTTTCTCAGGCTGTGCCTGAGTATGGGAATTTTTTTTAAAGTCCTTTCACTTGCAACAAATTGGCTAGGACCTTTCAATTATGAGGTTCAGATATATTTTGAGCTCAGGAAAATTTCTTCTATTTTGTCTAATATGTCTCTTGTCCTGTACTGTCTTTTCCCCTTCTATTACAACTTATATATTAGGTCTCCTTCATGATTTTTCTTGGATTTTTTGCTCTGTTTGAAAATTTGAAAATTACTTTGGGACATTTCTTATGTTTGACCTTCTAGATAACCAATTTGAGTCTCAACAATAACCTTTTCAATTCCTCCACTGAAATTTTTAATCTTAAAATAAATATTTTTGTTGTTAATTTGCTTAATTAAGAATGTCTTTTTATATATATATTTATTTATTTTATTTATTTACTTTCGGCTGTGTTGGGTCTTCACTGCTGCACGCGGGCTCTTCTCTAGTTGCGGCGAGCAGGGGCCAGTCTTCGTTGTGGTGTGCGGGCTTCTCATGGCGGTGGCTTCTCTTGTGGCGGAGCATGGGCTCTAGGCGCGTGGACTTCAGTAGTTGTGGCTTGCGGGCTCTAGAGAGCAGGCTCAGTAGTTGTGGCACACGGTCTTAGCTGCTCCGCGGCATGTGGGATCTTCCCGGCCCAGGGATCGAACCTGTGTCCGCTGCGTTGGTAGGCGGATTCGCAACCACTGCACCACCAAGAAAGCCCTAAGAATGTCTTTTTAAAGCCACACTTGAACATCTTTATTTGGTTTCTTTGGGTTTTTTTGTTATTCAAGTTGTCATCTGTTTGTTCTGCTTTTTTCCAAAGCTCTCTGAGATGTGCTATTTTTCTGTTCATTAGGTCCTAATTCAGTTCCCAGGTGATGATTTATGATGGTAAACACAGCAGGCTCTGGTCCCGTAGGTCCCCAGTTACTGTAGCAGGCAGTCTGTGATTCCAGGGAAATATCAGGAGCAAGCCCCTCTGCTCCTGTCCGCCCTGCTTTCCTTTAGCTTTCTCCCCTCAGAGATGAAGAGGATTCCACTGCCTTCATTCCCCAAATCCACCATTTTCTAAAGGCCCAGCACTCCCCCTATCTACTACATGCAGAATCTAACCATGACCACTCTCCCTCCACCAAAAATCCCCAAAGCAACCACCTGCCCCAAGCTCTCACTTATGGCAGCTCTCTCTGGACTCCTCACCTGCACCAGCGCTTTGCAGGAGTACCAAGAAAACATCAGACCTCACTCACACCTTCCTACTCCTAGTCGCCAACCCAGCCAACTAAAGTAGATGGGTTTCAGTGGAGTGCGTAAGGGAGGAGTCTTTCAATCCACCATCTATACAGAATTCATATAAACTATTTTTGAAATTTAATAAATAAAACCCTCCATGAGAAATAAAGCTTTATCCAATCCTTAGGGGGGGGAAAAAGGCTATACTTAGGGAAAATAAAGTCATTTCTACATTATTAACATAGCAATATAATATTATTAACATTGTAGAGCTCATATACCTTTCTCTAGTTCCACTGGGAAAAGTTCCAGCTTTTCTACACGCTTTTCAAGTTCATACTCGGCTGAAGCAGCCACAGGGTCAACTTCATCGTTTCTCCTGTCATAGTCTTCATTGGAGTATGTGCTGAAGACCTGTAGTAAGATATCAACAAAAAGATGAAAATCTAGAAAAGACAGTTTTCTTGATTAAAAAAAAAATCTGCTACATATCCAAAACTACGTAAGTTAAAAATTTTGTACGAAGAATTTCTTCTAAACAACTGTTTTGTCATAAAATCAACTGAGATGTTAAGAAAAGGAAAACTGAATCAGAATAAAAATAACTTACTAATTTAAAAAATGTACCACTTTTAATAATTTGAGAGACAGCATTAGCCACAGAATACATTATATGGTTAGCAACATTTATCACTTTTTATAGAATCAGAGTATACCATATTAGCTGCAATAAAATTAAGGTAAAGCATCTTCAGGCTTTATTTACCGAAGCAAATACCCGCACTGAACCCATTTCATGCTATGACCTATACAAGCCCTGATGTTGCAGTGTGCTGGTTTTATAAGAATTATATTTCAAACACAGAATCATTGAAACTGACTTCTATTCTGTACTGGGCTGTGTTAAGCTCTCATTTGTTATCTCTCATTTTACTTCCATGTAGATATAAATTAAATCCTCATTGAACCTTTTTTTTTTTTTTTTTTTTTTTGCGGTATGCGGGCCTCTCACTGTTGTGGCCTCTCCAGTTGCAGAGCACAGGCTCCAGACGGGCAGGTTCAGCGGCCACGGCTCACGGGCCTAGCCGCTCCACGGCATATGGGATCTTCCCAGACCGGGGCACGAACCCATGTCCCCTGCATCAGCAGGCGGACTCTCAACCACTGCGCCACCAGGGAAGCCCTCATTGAACCTTTTAATGAAATGACTATCAAAATATTGCTCAAGAGCTGCAGAACAAACAGGATATTGGTAGCTCTTTCTTTCTGACCTAAATCATTCAAAAGACTACTAAATGTGGTCTTCAGATGTAGCTGTACATCTTCTTTCTGCTGAAATATTTGTTTTATTTGAAAAGTAACTGGAAATAGGTATACAACCCCTCACTTAATACACTGAAGAATATTTTTTAAAAAGAAATGTATAATTCATCAAGCCTAATTAATTTGCATGATAAAAACTGACATTTTCAATTAAATTCAACAATTATGAAGTATCTAGACTGTGCCTGACAAAACTTTGTCATGTCCTCCCAAATCTAGAGTGAGTAGTTTTTAAAAATATATACTTTAAAAAGTGATAATAAAAACATCAATAGAAAGCAGGACAGAAGGTCAGAGATGAAAGAAATTAAGTCTATTGCCTATAAAGCTGGCCCTGCTAGTCCAGATGTGCTTTACATTCGTATTATTGGAAAATTGGCAACTCTTACATGCTGTATATGGTAACCTATAAACCAGAAATATATACTGCGTACAAAGAAACAGATGTAGTGTGGTTCCTAATTCTACATACTTCTCAAAATCGTATCATTTATAGGTTTTGTACCAGAATGCATAACTGTTTTTCTTCCTGAATTTCAACATGTTTTCATAGCCTTGTACCATTCACTTGGTCTCTACCACATTCCTACAACACAATAAACATTTCTACACCAAAATGAACACTTCTAAACTATGGGGTTTGTACCTTTTAAATTAATCTTTTCATAAAATATGCTTCCTATGCCCCTTCCATAGAACCTTCCAATATTTTTCTTAAATTGTCATGTTTATGACTTTCTCTTAGACAGCCTGTTTGATCTTTCACTTCCCTTATATGTTTTGGTAATCACTTATTTATTCATTCATCAAAAATTTACAAAGAATCAACTCTATGCCAGACATCGTGCTAGACACTGAAGAAGGTACAGTTTCAAGTAGCTCACAGCTCAGTAGGGACATAGAAATCAAAATAAACTAAAATATATGTGATAACTGATGTAACAAAGGAATATACCAAGTAATTTTTTTATTGTCATGAATTTCATGGAGGGGAAAATATTTGAGTTGAACCTTAAATAAACAAAGATTCACATATTCAAATGTAGAAGAGGTGGAATGTATATTTCAAATATAAGACACTAGAAAAAATCTATATCTGTATCTTTTGGAAAACATCGACAGTTGAGTGGACCACAGTGCAGCATGCCTAGGGGAGCAAACTTTAACAACATACAAAGAAAGTTACTTGGATCTGGAACGTACATGTCCTGGAAACTATCGGCAGAGATGACCGGAAATTATTCCATTGATGTTTGCCACTTGTCTACTTCTGCTAATAGGTTCAAGTATATGATTGCTAAACAAGGATTCAAATGATATTCATACAGGAACATAACTCAATTTTGCTACCAACTTAATGTATGAATTAAAAAATGTGTGTATACATACACGTGTATATATGTGTATATGTGTTTGTGTGTATACACACACATCTGCTATCAAATGTCCTTCCCCAATCAGTCTGGTTTATAAAGTCCATTTGGGGATAACCAGAAATTAAATAAAACAAACAGAAAACTAACTATATGACTACATATTGGAAAACAGTACTTTAAATAATGTTTGAGGCATGTAGCAATCAGATGACCGTATCACCATTTAATTCTGTAGAGAAGAAATAATGTAATATACTTTTCATCTTCAGCTTGTTCATAGTCTGGTAAATTATGTGGGCACATAGGTAAAACCTATAAATACATGAAACAGAAAAGCCAGAATTCATTATTTGCAATTTAAGCTTTTGTTTACCTGGAGAATCCAAGAGGTTAAACAGAAAAACTGTTAGAATGAACAAGAGTTCAGTGAAAACAGAATTTCAAAACTACCAAAAAAGCCCAGAATAGCTTTAGAAAATATAACAGAAAAGATCAGAAATTATAAAATACTCAAGAATTGCTGATTATAAATGTGCAAGGATATCCTTTATCTATAAAACTTAACTGAAAAATTCAAAAAGCCTTGAAGAAGTGTAATGCCATACTATGTTATTGGATTAAAATCCTTAATATTGTAAAAACCTCTATGATCCTAAATTACTGTAAATGTCTCTTTGCCCCAATTTAATTTATGAATTCAGGGCAATCAAAATGAAAATCCCACTAACATTTTTCATGGAAACTAACAAGCTGCTAGCAAACAAGGAATAAGGATGGAAATAGACCCTATCAGATACCAAAACATACAATAAAACTTAGTTTATTAAGGCAGTGCAGTTTGCCCCAAGACAGATCTATTTTTGTACTCTATTCTGTTTCACTCCTCTACTTTTCTATTCAAATTAGCTTGGGTGGTCTATTCAATAAATAGTAGGGAAAGAATGAGATATCCATATGAAAAAAGATTCCTATTTCATATGATTAACAAAAAGTAAAACTTAACATTGGTTAAGAACAAAAATTATAAACTATTAAACTGCTAAAAGAAAATATGGGAGAATGTTTAACAGGCTAGAGAGGACATTCCCAAAAAGCCGAAGACCCTAGAAATCCTAAAGAAAATGAGTAAACTATTTGATTAAAAATTAATGCTAAAAACTTCTAGGTAACAAAATATACCATAATGAAATTACAAAACAAGTCAAATATTAGGAGAATATATTGCCAAATATCAAAATGAAATATGAATATTCATAATATAAAAAGGGTTTTATCAACTTAACTACATCTGTAAGTAGGGGAAAGGAAACTGAGAATTCAACAAAGACATATCAATAAATGATGTAAAGATGCTCAACTTCATTAAAAATTAAGCAAATTCAAGAAGTAAATACTATATATTCACCCATAGGATGATTTTTTTTTAAAAAAAAGACTGCAACATCCAGTGTTTGTGAGGATATAGGAAAAAGAATACACTTGGAAAAGCAGGAAAAAGGTCGCAGTTTGAGAATAGCTATCAAGATTTTAAATGTAAATGCCTTTGATCCAATAACGCTATACCTAAGTATTTATAGAGATACTTGCAGGTGTGCACAGATACCTGTGCAAGGGAGTTCATTACAGAACTATTTATAATAGCCTAAGATGGAAAATTACCTAAATGTCCAATGATAGAGAAAATGTCTTACTAAATTACAATATATACAAATATGTAATTTCATGCAATGATTTAAAAGATCTATCTCCGCTGACATGAAAGTCTCTGAAATACATATATTATTTAACCAAAAAAGCACATGGCAGATATACCTATATCTACTGATATATCCCTTTGTATCTATTTATATATTTCTATATATACATATATAGGTACAAATATGTTCTCAACTGGTATGATCCTAACTTTAAATTAAATACCTCCTAAATTCTCTAGCTATGTAGCTCTTGCCAAATTGTAAAACCACTCTAAGCCTCAGTTTCATTATTCACAAAATGGCTATTATAATAATAATACCTACCGCATAAAGTTGCTGTAAGAATGAAATGAGATAGTCCAAATAATTATGCTGGGTTCAATGTCAGGGGAGGGAAAGCTGTCCCAAGGTAATATGAGAGATAACAATATTGCCCCAGATACCTACACTCACCTCATATTCTCATTTATAAATAAGTTTTGAATATTTAATCCACTATGATGCTTAATGCCCTTGGAACAAAAATCTGCAAGACTAATTTAGTATTATAATGTAGACTGGCCTGCCAAAATCCCTACCTGTGTCCAGAGCAATACAGTATCATTACACAATGGCTCATCATCTGCCGCCAGGCTTTGTTTTGCCTTCATCAGGTAGAACCTCAGAGATGAAAGGAAAATTGACCTAGGTAAAGACTTCCCCTTTCATCAATATGGTCATGACTCTTTCAGTATTCTTATAATAGTTCTATCATTTTTATTTATATTACCATAACTGCTCTACAAATATATATGAATAATTACACAAATAATAATCAGAGCTCCATCATGATACCACTGCAATGCAAAAAACTAAAGGCCAACAGCATCCTGGGTCCTAATATTCAACGCCATTCAAGATATAAACATATATATTTAGTTCAGTCACCTTCACATTGTTCCTGCTTTATTTCACTGAGAAAAGCAAACAAAAGGATGTTTACGTTTAAGACTTCTTGTTTCAGAGCCAACCAGTGATA